TTACAATTGGAGGCAACATTCAAAATTTTAGAAATATCATCAAAATTAGATGTATAATATATTAGAATTATGTGTTCTCCACTGTGTTAAATATAAAATTTCAAATTACAATCTTAAACTATTAATTTCTCGATATTGTTGTCCCGCGCAACGCGCGGATACCTACCTAGTTTTATTGTAGAAGACATATAAAAAATATTAAATATATATTGATCTAAATTCAGTTGAATATAGAAAATTTATATATTTTTTTTTTGTTCAAAAAGAAATTATATATATATATATATCAATATTTTTAAACTCGAACCGGATATCGACCCGAAAAATTATAAATATATAACAATTGAGAATAATATAAACACAAATATATTTATGACATACGAAAATAAATTTTGTTGTTAACAATTTGAACCTTTTTTATGCTACCAAGAATTATTTGCTTTGGGATGGTTTTTGAGAATTTTAAAAAGAAACAAATTGTTTTTATATATTATATAAATAATAATGATTATAAGATTTGTGGGAATCTATACAATACCAAAAAAAGTAAAGCAGGAAATTGTAGTTGACATTGAATACACTACAAGAAAACATATCAATTTTTTACCAATTTTTTTTGTGGTCAAAACTATTTTGACAATTTTCGACCAATTTTAGACGAATNTTTATTTTCGTTATAAATTGGTCAANAAAATATGATGAAATATAAGAGTCAAAAATTGGTCGAAATTTTTTGACNAANTTTTAACGGATTCGTAAATTTGTCAAAAAATGGTCGAAAACTTGCGACAAAGAAGATTGGTTGAAAATTGGTCAAGAAAATATGTTAATTTTTTACCAAATTTTTGACCAAGAAATTGGTCAAAATGTTTGTTGACAAATTTTCGACCAAAAATTTATGAAAATTTAAACTCGTCAAAATATGATCAAAATTTTTTTGACTAATACAAATGGTCTGTACATAGTCAAAATATTATTACTATTTCTCGAGTAAAACAAAATTTGATCGAAACTTCGTAAGTAATTTTGACGAATAAATACTTGACAGAAATTGGTCACAACATTATCGACCAAATATTGAGGAGAACACTTCTATTGTATTTGTCCCACATCGCCAATATGGGAGGGATGAAATTTTGACTTTCTCTATAAAATAGCACTTACTCCATTGTGAAAAACGTAAATGGGCTTCATGGCCCAAATAGTTAAATTTTAAAATATTTAATCGATGATTGAGTATATATTTTGAAATTATTATGAATCAAATATTTTAAATTTGAATTTTTATATTTTCGAATAAATTTTGTTTAAATATTTTATATTTTAATTTTTTTTAAAATATTTGATTTAATTTTAGTTATTATGAATTAAATATTTTAAATTTTAACTTCAATATTTTTGAATTGATCAAAATATAGTTCTAAAATTTAAATATCTTAGTTGGTCAAAAATTGGTTAGAATATATGGTCTAAAATTGGTCAAAATATATAATTCCGACCATTTTGATTGATCAAAAAATTTTGACGATTTTATTGGTCATAATCAAAATTTTGACCACTTTGTTGGTCAAACCAAAATTTTGACCATTTTTATTGGTCAAAACGTTTTGACTATTTTNTGACCAANTTNCATTTGCGACCATCGATTNTTGANGAATCGATTTTGGTCAAGTACTAGTCAGAAATAGCTGTTTTTGACCAATTTTAGACCAAATTGATTGTCAAAATTAGAATATTTTCTTGTAGTGATAGTTACCAATTTACCATAATAAATAAATAGATTTTCTTGACCA